ACCCTGGTCTGTGTCTACTTTGCAAGGGTGAGCGTATAACTCTGCGAGCCGGACTCCCCATCAGGTAAGAACCTGACATAATGAACTGACCATATGGAGTCTGCAGAGTTATACAAATTACTCACCTCCCTGGCTGAACAAGTCTCCAACCTGTCCCAGAATGTTATGGATTTGCATAGATGTTCATTGGCATTTAAAGGAGCAGTACATCCAATCCCGGAACATACATACCCAGAACCCTATGTCATTATGCCTGACAGGTTTCCCGTTCTGCTTTCCCGATGTTCAAGAAGGATTGTGAGCTACTGTTTGCCCTGAAACCTAGAACCTACGCCACCGACCTTATCAGAGTCCGCTCCGCTATTAACCTGTGTACTGGGCGGATTAAGGCGTGGGCACACCAGAAGCTGCAGGAGAGAAGTACTGTCTTGGACTCCTGGGAGTTGTTCATGTCCGCAATGGACTCTCAGTGCTTTGCATCAAGGAAAGCAACTCCCAAGCCTACTTCATGTTCTTGCAGAACCCGGTTGCCTAGAGAAGGGGAATTATTTTATGAATACAAGAATCCCATCTCGCTACAGTCTAAACCTACCTCCAAGGACCTGCCTTGTCATCATAATGTTACCCATGTGGAACTTGGCACTCTAGAGGACAAGGAGGAACCCATGGAGATCGGCTTCATCCGCACTACAACAAGACTGCCATCTAGAGAAAGAGACCAAAGGAGGGCTTGTTGTCTCTGTTTCTATTGTGGAGAAGGAGGGCACTTTATCTCCCACTGCCCTATTCGCCCAACTCGGCCTAAGCCTCTTCAAGTAGGTACTACTCAGCTTCATCCTGTTATCCCGGCAACACTGCCAGAAAATTGTCAAGGGTACTGTCGGATGTTTCCACGTTCCGTGACGCAGAAGAGTACCCAGACTACGATGGCTACTGATGCCAGTGTCTCTCAAGAACACATAATCGGTGATCATGAGAATTCACCACCTCCAGAAGACTCTCCTGTTAAAACTGGTACCATCACCACTTCCTGTCTGCCCAAAGGAGAACTACCTGCGGATTGCACCTGGTACCAAGGTCCACAGAACAGATCTGGAAACGTTTGAAAGGGCTTTGAAAGCCGTGAACTCTGCTCCTGGTGACTCACCTAAGAAAAAAAAGTTCAGAGAAAATGACTCCTGGGATCAAGGTACTTACCGCCTCCACCAAATCCATGAATAACCTTGACCTCTTTCCATTAGTACCCGAAACTGGTACCATAAAGTCCCAGGCTGTAAAGGGACTCCGCTCTGGAGACTGTAATTACAAAGACTATCTTAGTGATCTGAGACCGAAGATGAGGAGTACTATTTCCAAGAAGAACCTGTTCACGCCCGGAGGGCGTTCTTGAAGGGAGGGTACTGTCACGGTTCTCACCGTGACATCCCGACGGCCAGACAAGGTCGCCCCAGAAGTGCCCGGTGACGGACTTTAACCAGGGTACTTTGCAGTCCTGGGGCTGCTATTTTGCCTCTGAGCCACCATATCAGCTCGAAAGATAGCCAGAAGTCTATCTTGCCTTGTACCCAACACTGGGGGCTGGACGTTATTCTGTGGCTGCTCCAACGATCTCAGCACACGTGTGGCTGATCACCAATTAGCCAGGTAAAAGACACTGCCTCTCCCTGAGGGCAGTGTCAGTTCATTGACTCTGGTTCCCTTGTTTGGTTCCTGTCTTGCTATATCTGCGTTCCAGTATTTCCTGTCTGATTCCAGCTTCTGACCTTGGCTTTCCTCCTGGACTACTCTGATCTCTGGATTCCCCTGACTTTGGCTTTCCTTGACTACGCTTCTGCTAATCCCTGCTGTACTGCTACTTGGAGCACTATTCCTGGAAAGCCCCCGTGCACAGACTCACAGATCAGGTGGCGTCTTACCTGGTCTCCCTGGTCTGTGTCTACTTTGCAAGGGTGAGCGTATAACTCTGCGAGCCGGACTCCCCATCAGGTAAGAACCTGACATCCTTGGATATGGGAAGCACACAAAGGGGTGACTCAGGGCATTCTAATTAAATGGGGCTCTAGACTTAAAAGGGAACAAAGAGAAAAAATATATTCCCTCACTACAGTAATTCATGACATGGAGATCAGACACAAACAGATCCCATTACAAGAAAATTTTCAATGCCTAACAGCAAATAGACTAAAACTGCAATCCTTTTGTGCATTGGAGGCGCAGAGAGCAGTACAGATGACACAGAGCTCCTTTTATTCATATGGAAATAAAAGTTGGAAATTACTGGCCAGGGCATTGAAAGCAAAACTCCAGAAAACATATATACCTATAATTAAAAATAAAAATGGGAATCAATGTAACACCACTGACTCTATAACTGCATCCTTTAGGGACTTCTACCAGGATCTTTACAATCTATCTTTTGCTGATCGCACCCCCTCTGACTTAGAGAACTACTTTTTCCTGACATTATTCATGGCAGCATTTACTCATGGGTTAGCTCCTCCCCTCACAGCAGAAAGGACAGGAAATAGAACTCTGAAACTGGTATAAATAGATCCTCCCCCTTCCCATCAGGCAGTCTTTTTTCCTGTCCTTCACAGTAGTTTGGAAGGAGTCTGCTTATGCAGGCCTAGATTTTCTTTTATGCTCACCAGGCAATATTTTTGTAGCCATGCCGGGGTTCAGCCTCTAAGCCCTGAAGACCCAGCAACGCACTATTGTTAATACTGCAAACCTGGGTACCCCCTTTAGTGACCGGGGGTCGGACCCAACCTCTCCCTTAAGGGATGAAAATGGTCCACTGCATGCCAGGGTTCAGCCTCTTATCCCTGAAGACCCAGCAACAGGCCAGCTTGGGTACCCCCTCAGGGGATGAATGTGATATGCTGCCTACAGGAAGCCAGGCCTGGGTTCAGACTCTTATCCCTGAAGACCCAGCAACAGCCCAGCTTGGGTACCCACTCAGGGGATGAATGTGATATATTGCCTACATAATACCAGGCCAGGGTTCAGCCTCTTATCCCTGAAGACCCAGCAAACAGCACATCTGTAACAGTTGCCAGCCTGGGTACCTCCTTCAGCAATCAGGAGTCTGACCTATCTCTCTCCCTGAGGGGATGACAGCGGTCCACTGCATACATGAGGCCCAGCCGAGTCTAAGCCTTTATTCTTGAAGACCCAGTAAACAGCACTTCCATAAGGTGACTACCTGGGTATACCTATTCTTGGTGTTCCACCTTGTATGGGGTTGGTTAAACCTCCTCCCACTGGTGATGATGGACTGCATATGGGGTACAGATGGAAGCCTATAGTTTAAACAGTTTAGGCTGTCAGTTGTTCAAAGCCCCATTTTGCTGTTGAAACACAGGCCTGCAGCTGTTCAGGTAAGTGCATTAGTAATTAGATTAAAACTAGTATAGGCACCTGGGTCTCTGTTCTTTCAGTCCCTCCCAGCGGCTTACATTAGGCTTCCTTCTAACAAATAGGTCACATTTAGGAGGTTTGTGTGGTGAGCATTTAGGTAAGTTATACATGAAAGGATGCTTGGTACAAAAGAGTGCTTATGATGCAATAAGGCATTGTGAAAAAGAGTGCTAATAATGGATATCCTGGCTGTATAAAGTCTGCTGGAATTTCACAGTCCTGAAGAAATATCCAAGGTAAGAGAACTTCCCTGGGTGACTGAAGTACTCACATGGATATGATTTTAAAGTCCACACACACACACACACTTGTTCCTATCCAGATATGTGGCATTGATTGCTGTTATCTGTGCATTATCACAAATAAGCAGGCTTTTCCAGAGAGTGGAGGAATATACTGCATATGAGACCACGGGGCCTCAGTATCCATACATGATCTGGTGGTGGTACAGCATCGGTGTGTTTTCACTTTATGCTCTAACATATGAACAGAGTGTGTCCAGTAAATGCTCTAGGTATGAGTTACTATAAGGACACGGCCTCAGTATATGTATCCACTATATGCTCTATGTAGGAGTTACTAGGAGGATACGGCCTCGGTATATGTATCCGCTATGTGGTCTGTATAAGAGTTACTGTGAGTACACCACCTCAGTAAAAGTATCCTATATATGAGATATATATATATGAGTTTCTATTGAGACACAGCCTCAGTATATGTGTCCACTATATGCTCTATGTGTGAGTTTCTATGGAGAAAGCCTCAGTATATGTATCCATTATAGGCTCTATGTATGAGTTACAATGAGGACGCTGCCTCAGTTTATGTATGCACTATATGCTCTATATGTGAGTTACTGTGAGGACACAGCCTCAGTATAGGTATCCACTATATGATAAATGTATGAGTTGCTATGGAGACACAGCCTCCGTTTATGTATGCACTATATGCTCTGTGTATGAATTACTATGAGGTCATGGCCTCAGTATATGTGTCCATTATAGGCCATATGTATGAGTTACTATGGAGACACAGCTTCAGTTTATGTATGCGCTTTATGCTCTGTGTATGAGTTACTATGAGGACACAACCTCAGTATATGTACACACTATAGGCTCTGTGTATGAGTTACTATGAGGACACAGCCTCAGTATATGTACACACTATAGGCTCTGTGTATGAGTTACTATGGGGACACAGCCTCAGTTTATGTATGCGCTTTATGCTCTGTGTATGAGTTACTATGGAGACACAGTCTCAGTTTATGTATGCGCTTTATGCTCTGTGTATGAGTTACTATGGAGACACAGTCTCAGTTTATGTATGCGCTTTATGCTCTGTGTATGAGTTACTATGAGGACACAACCTCAGTATATGTACACACTATAGGCTCTGTGTATGAGTTACTATGAGGACACAGCCTCAGTATATGTACACACTATATGCTGTATGTATGAGTTACTATGGAGACACAGCCTCAGTTTATGTATGCGCTTTATGCTCTGTGTATGAGTTACTATGGAGACACAGTCTCAGTTTATGTATGCGCTTTATGCTCTGTGTATGAGTTACTATGGAGACACAGTCTCAGTTTATGTATGCGCTTTATGCTCTGTGTATGAGTTACTATGAAGACACAGCCTCAGTATATGTACACACTATAGGCTCTGTGTATGAGTTACTATGGGGACACAGCCTCAGTATATGTATCCACTATATTGGCTACGTATGAGATGATCGGAAGTCTCGGCTCAGTTTGTGTTCTTTATTTGCTCTAAAAACATAACCTTAGTATATCTCTCAACATGCTCTATATGTAAGTTGGTGTGGACATTGCTTCAGTGGATCTGTTCACTATATGCTTGATGTATTAGTGGAAACACAATATATGTGAATGATATAAGACACATCCTCTATGAGTCCAATCTAATGCAGGTTTTTTTTTGTGTGGGTTATTAGTCACAACCTCAGGATATATGAGTGGTGTAATATGTGCATGAAGTTCTGTTGAAAACAGCCTCAATTTATCTCACTCATATAATCTTAATATGTGTGCAGGCATAGTGTCACTGTATATATAGCAGAGGTAGGCTATTACTATTTGATCAGACTCAGTATATGTAACTGATATCTGTGTATAAGGTGCTGTTAGAAACATCCACAATGTCTGTGATTCACATAATCTGTATGCAGGTCGGTAGTATTAGATAACCCTAATTTATACACTGCATTGATAGATTTAATATATACAAATGATCTAAGGTCTGGGTTTTGCGCTGAAATGTAGCACTGCCTAATTTTAGCAAATACAAATGCACTGTTATACTGGGTAAGTAATTATTGCCTCCTGTGGATTTTCTATTTCAGTTTTTTTAAATGAAGTAGATAAGGAAACATACTGCTTTTGGCTTTGTATTAGATTCCTTCTCCCACAGGTGTTTCAGGATAAGCAATTAACACATTTTACCACTTCAGATAGATTGCAGGTGTTACTGAACCTGCCTGAGTGCCTCTCCCAGGAGACAAGGAGACCTGAATTTCCAAAATGGAGCATGGTACTGTTTAACAAAATTAAGGCCTTTTTTGTGTGCACTCCTATGTATTTATACATGATACCATTTCTGAGAAGTTTTTCTATTGCCAAGTATCCTCTCCTCTCTTATCAAGATAGGGAATGTTTTGGTGGCAGTGTTTTTGTCTTCAGATATATGCTGTTACTGATGCACAGCTTAGATCATGCTGATTGCAGGAGCATAAATTGGCCTATTAATTGTTCTCATAAATAGGTAACTCTGAAGCTATTACCTGATTTTAAAAAGCTGTTCATATTGGCTTGTTTCTCTCCTGGTCTTAACTTTAGTATCATTTTATTTTTCCACAAACTTCTACTCTGAAGAATTCACTACTACTGGTCTGGTTTGTGCTTTTTATTAAGTTTTTAACTCGGTTCTCTGGAATTGGTTTAACATTCTTTAGAACTGACTACCTTTCCTTAAAGCATAATATTTATAATTTGGAGAATGTACTAATTTTTTATTTGCAGTATTCTCTTTTATCCCTTGGGGACCTGAGAGTTTGGCAATCCCTTTAGGATATGTCAGGGGTAGCATGCTTTTTGTTCTTAAGGAATTAATGTTCAGAAATTTCTGACAAGATTCCCTTGTGGTGAAAGGGTATATTATAATTTCCTTTCTGCAATTAAATGTATTCTTTTATGCTCATATGATCCAGGTAAGTTTTTGATACTTAGTATTGCAAGTATTTTAATTGACACTGGAAGGTCTTTCTAGTCCCCAGGCCATTCTACCAGGTTTACTATTTCAAGTAAAATTCACCTGCTATCAGAACAAGAGAGGAAATCCCTTAACAGGTAACTCCATTACGGTCCTCTCTTCTGATATTCATGGGGATTCTTCTAGTGGTCCTTATATCTGGAATTTGCAACCGAGGTGTGGCTTTAAGTGGTTGATTCATCCTACATAATATAATGTAATGCAGCTTGTTGATGACAAACAGTTGACTGATATGTTTTTCATGGTCTCTGTACCTAGATCGGTATAAGTTATGGTCACTCCTAACATTGCATTGATTTAATACTTATGGATTATATACTTGTATTGGTGTTGATATCTTGCAGATAATACAAACTGCTTATTATCGCCATAAGCTCTGCCATAGTACTTCTTCGCTATCTGAAGATAAGGTAAGAGTAAGTATGCGGTTGTTTGTTCTCATAAGGATAACTGAATATCTTCCACTATCCTGATTATGTGTCGGTTGCCACAATGGATCATGTGCCTCTGGTTACCACCTTCTCATCAGTATCCTGCCGATTACATATCTCCTACTTATGTTACACAACGGTCTCTAATAAATTTGATTATACTGTTTGGCATAATCTGTACTATTTACAATGTTTCTTTGAATGTAGGTACTGACGTGATTGTCCTACTTATAATTTAGGAGTTTCCACAAATTCCACGGTTCATACCGATGTCTCTTTTCTTTCTTTAACTAATCTGTATATGACTCTTAATGCCCTTGCCTAGTAATGTCATTGGTTTATACCTCTCCTGTGCCTGATCATTATTGTATCAATTCATCCATGGTGTGAGGTATTGTTGTGAGTCTGATTTTTGCAATATATATGTGTATATATATTCATTATTGCAGTGTTTTAATAACACTTATTTCTCTACTAGGCTCTGCCTCTTTCTGACAGGCAGGTATTGATTTATTTCCTGTATCCACAGGTAAGTAATTCACAAGGCAAGAGGAAGCAGTGTGAATCGTCATTAATAATTACATCCAGAGAGTTGTAGGATTCTCAGTGTAATTCTCGCCATGTTTAATAGCATGGTGTGTCTGTTCTCATCCAACCTTCTGTTATGCCTTTTGTCAAGGTTCTGATCTGATAAGGTCATCAATTTGGTTTTAAATTTTATATCAAAATGGCATTATCCTTCTCTGACTTATGCTATCATGGCCTTAATTCCTATCTGACTATATTTAGGATATTTCAGATATTGAATGCCAGGAGGTTGCTGACCTTGCAGCCTCTAGGTTAATTAACTTGTCTGGGCAGAATGTATGACAACATCCTATTGATGTCTTGTTTGGCTTTTTTTTTGAGTCTTCTAAGGTTTATGCAGCTCAATAATGGTTTTATAGCTATTGGCTGTTTTTGAACTCTGTCCCTCCCTCGATATATACTGCTTGGGTATTCCCCATGAGTAAATGCTGCCATGAATAATGTCAGGAAAAAAGGAAAATTTGCTTCATACTTACCGTAATTTTCTTTTTCTGATCATTATTCATGGCAGCATTACGTTTCCACCCATATACTATAAGATGTGAAGCTAGTTACTAAGACTGCCTGATGGGAAGGGGGAGGATCTATTTATACCAGTTTCAGAGTTCTATTTCCTGTCCTTTCTGCTGTGAGGGGAGGAGCTAACCCATGAGTAAATGCTGCCATGAATAATGATCAGAAAAAGAAAATTACGGTAAGTATGAAGCAAATTTTCCTTTTTCCTCGAATATCCCATTTAAGATACATATTTTGACTACAGATAAATTGGAAAAGGCAATTTACCTCAGAGGAACTTTCCTCAGTAATTAAATATATGCCAAAGGCCAAAAGCCCAGGTCCATATGGTCTAACTGCACAGTATTATGAACTTCCTCAGACTATTCTTGGACCACACTTACTTAGGACATTTAATGGAATGATTCCAGGTGCCCCCCTTCCTCCCACTATGTTGAAAGCTGTGATTACAGTTATACATAAAACAGGAAAGGACCCAGAGATCTGCAGCAGATGTAGACCTATCTCACTTCTTAATCTTGATTTCAATTTTTTTGCCCAATTAATAGCAAATAGTCTTAAAACCCTTATGCCTGGACTGATCTACCCTGACCAAGTGGGTTTGTTCCTGGCCGGGAGGCTAGAGATAACACTACTAAGATCCTCAATGTGATATATAGAGCAGCTATAGATAAAACCCCAACTATTTTGCTAGCGATTGACGCTGAAAAGGCTTTTGACAGGGTGGATTGGTCCTATCTATTTACTCTATGTGAGATTTTGGGGTTTGGGCCTAGACTACATAACTGGATACAAGCACTCAATAGAGACTCTACAGCTAGTATTCGAGTCAATGGACAGTTATCTATACCTTGTTCCTTAAGTAACAGCACCCGTCAGGGGTGTCCTTTATCTCCTCTTCTTTTTCTTTTCGTTAAAAAAAAACCATTTCTTACAGTTATTCTGAATAATATATGTATTAAGGGATACAGGTCTACTGGTGGAGAAGTTAAGGTTTCTGCATTTGCAGATGTGTAACTTACGATTACAGACCCATTAGTTACGCTACCTTCATTGCATATGGAATTAGAGAAATTTGGCGTACTTTTGAATTTTAAGTTAAATAAAGATAAATGTGAGTTATTGGGGATTTCTGTACATATTACATTGAAAGAGCAGATACAGAGGAAATATAAATACAAGTGGACAGATTCTTGGCTAACCTACATAGGTGTGTGGTTGATAGCACAATATAAAGAACTATGTAAATTAAATTATGGGCGTTTAGTAAAAAGTATACTGAAAGATCTTGAAACTGGGATATGCCCTTTTTCTCCATGATGAGCAGAGTAAACATCATAAAATTATGGTTCTCCCCAAAGTTCTATATTTGTTTCAGACTATATTTGTTCCAGTGCTGGGAGAGTTCTCCTGTAGAATGTGGTCTCTGTTCACTTCCATTGTCTGGAGTAATAAAACACCATGCACTGCATACAATATTCTTACATCCCTTATCAATAGAGGAGGATTGAACCTCCCACATTTACATAGCTATTATGTGGCTGTACTGCTTATGCGAATTAGGGAGTGGACCACCACAGATAAGAAAAAACGTTGGTATGCTCTGGATCAGAGCTTCACAAAAGCTAGGCTACACACACACCCAGGGCAAACACGTCAATTAAGAGCACACTCACCTAATACACACCCACTCATTTATCATACCATAAAGATGCCTGGGGATTGGTGCCAGGTTTATCTATATACTTTCCCATAGAATTTAACCTTGATTTCCAGAATGGACAAGGTAGTAACTTTTTAATTAGACTAATGGGTGTCTTAGAACCAGAGATATCAATGGTTTGATGGAGGAGGTCCCTCCAAAGATGAGAGACTTCTCACACTTTTAGCTATAATGGAACTTTCTCAATTAAAATTCTTTGTGACGGACCGCCTGGCACCGCGACCGGATGCCTTCACCAATCAATGCTCCTAG